TTTGTGTGCTACACTTGGGCATGAACCCATATAGGTTTGGGGCCAGTTTTCTTTGACCTGCAACATGACACGATTGAGAACAATTCTCTCCAAGACTTTACACATGCAAGATGTAAGGGAAATGGGTCTGAATTTTTGAGAGTTAGGTTTAGGAATTGGTATTATGAGACTTTGTGTCCATTTCTTTGGCAAGATACCTTGTGAGAGACTCATTTGATAGAGGTCAAGCAGAGGGTGGCTAGGGACATCATTCAGTAAGCTCAAGATGTTATAAGTTATACCATCCTCACCAGGGGCAGTTTGCCTAGGTTTTCCTAATGCTGATGTTAATTCAAAGGGGGTTATAGGAAACTGATCCGTTAAATCTGGTGAGGAGCGTGCTATTTCAATATTAAAGTTTCTGTTAATGTTGGTATGTCTTAAATGCTGTGTGAACAGTAAGTTAAAATTTATGAATGCGTCCTTGGGGTCGATCGCTGGAGTACAGGCAGCGGTGTGGGGGGGGGGGAGGTGCAGGCAACGGTGTGAGAGAGTGCAGGCACCGGTGTGGGGGTGTGCAGGCAGCGGTGTGGGGGTGTGTAGTCAACGGTGTGGGGGTGTGCAGGCAGCGGTGTGGGGGAGTGCAGGCAGCGGTGTGGGGGTGTGTAGTCAACGGTGTGGGGGTGTGCAGGCAGCGGTGTGGGGGTGTGCAGGCAGCGGTGTGGGGGTGTGTAGTCAACGGTGTGGGGGTGTGCAGGCAGCGGTGTGGGGGAGTGCAGGCAGCGGTGTGGGGGAGTGCAGGCAGCGGTGTGGGGGAGTGCAGGCAGCGGTGTGGGGGTGTGCAGGCAGCGGTGTGGGGGTGTGCAGGCAACGGTGTGAGAGAGTGCAGGCACCGGTGTGGGGGTGTGCAGGCAGCGGTGTGGGGGTGTGTAGTCAACGGTGTGGGGGTGTGCAGGCAGCGGTGTGAGGGAGTGCAGGCAGCGGTGTGGGAGTGTGCACGCAGCGGTGTGAGGGAGTGCAGGCACCGGTGTGGGGGTGTGCAGGCAGCGGTGTGAGGGAGTGCAGGCAGCGGTGTGGGGGTGTGCAGGCAGCGATGTGAGGGAGTGCAGGCTGCGGTGTGGGGGAGTGCAGGCAGCGATGTGAGGGAGTGCAGGCAGCGGTGTGGGGAGTGCAGGCAACGGTGTAAAGAAGTGCAGGCAGCGGTGTGAGGAAGTGCAGGCAGCGGTGTGGAAAAGTGCAGGCATCGGTGTGGGGGGGAAGGTATGCAGGCAGCAGTGTGGGGGAGGTGTGCAGGCAGCGGTGTGGGGAAGTGCAGGCAGCAGTGTGGGGGAAGGTATGCAGGCAGCAGTTGGGGGAGTGCAGGCAGCAGCGTGAGGTAGTGCAGGCAACAGTGTGGGAGAGTGCAGGCAGCGGTATGGGGAAGTGCAGGCAGCGGTGTGGGGAAGTGCAGGCATCGGTGTTGAGGGAAGGTATGCAGGCAGCAGTGGGGGGAGTGCAGGCAGCGGTGTGGGGGAGTGCAGGCAGCGGTGTGGGGGAATTTATGCAGGCAGCGGTGTGGGGGAGTGCAGACAACGGTGTGGGGAAGTTCAGGCAGTGGTGTAGAGAAGTGCAGGTAGCGGTGTGGGGGAGTGCAGGCAGCGGTGCGGGGGAGGTGTACAAGCAGCGGTGTGGGGGAGTGCAGGCAGAGGTGTGGGGGAGGTGTGCAGGCAGCGGTGTTGGGAAGTGCAGGCAGCGGTGTGGGGAAGCTCAGGCAATGGTGTGGGGAAGTGCAGGCAGCGGTGTCGGGGAGTGCAGACAGCGGTTTAATTGAGTGCCGGCAGCGGTGTGGGGGAGGTGTGCAGGCAACCGTGTAGGGGAGTACAGGCAGTGGTGTGGTGAAGGTGTGCTGGCAGCGGTGTGGGGAAGTGCAGGCAGAGGTGTGGGGGAGTGCAGGCTGCGGTGTGGGAGTGTGCAGGCAGCGGTGTGAGGGAATGTAGGCAGCTGTGTGGGAAAGTGCAGGCAGCGGTGTGGAAAAGTGCAGGCATCGGTGTGGGGGGGAAGGTATGCAGGCAGCAGTGTGGGGGACGTGTGCAGGCAGCGGTGTGGGGAAGTGCAGGCAGCAGTGTGGGGAAGGTATGCAGGCAGCAGTTGGGGGAGTGCAGGCAGCAGCGTGAGGTAGTGCAGGCAACAGTGTGGGAGAGTGCAGGCAGCGGTATGGGGAAGTGCAGGCAGCGGTGTGGGGAAGTGCAGGCATCGGTGTTGAGGGAAGGTATGCAGGCAGCAGTGGGGGGAGTGCAGGCAGCGGTGTGGGGGAGTGCAGGCAGCGGTGTGGGGGAATTTATGCAGGCAGCGGTGTGGGGGAGTGCAGGCAACGGTGTGGGGAAGTTCAGGCAGTGGTGTAGAGAAGTGCAGGTAGCGGTGTGGGGGAGTGCAGGCAGCGGTGCGGGGGAGGTGTACAAGCAGCGGTGTGGGGGAGTGCAGGCAGAGGTGTGGGGGAGGTGTGCAGGCAGCGGTGTTGGGAAGTGCAGGCAGCGGTGTGGGGAAGCTCAGGCAATGGTGTGGGGAAGTGCAGGCAGCGGTGTGGGGGAGTGCAGACAGCGGTTTAATTGAGTGCCGGCAGCGGTGTGGGGGAGGTGTGCAGGCAACAGTGTAGGGGAGTACAGGCAGTGGTGTGGTGAAGGTGTGCTGGCAGCGGTGTGGGGAAGTGCAGGCAGAGGTGTGGGGGAGTGCAGGCTGCGGTGTGGGGGTGTGCAGGTAGCGGTGTGAGGGAATGTAGGCAGCTGTGTGGGAAAGTGCAGGCAGCGGTGTGGAGTGCAGGTAGCGGTGTGGGGGAGTGCAGGCAGCGTTGTGGAGGAGTGCAGGCTGCGGTGTGGGGGAGTGCAGGCAGCTGTGTGGGGAAGTGCAGGCAGCTGTGTGGGGAAGTCCAGACAGTGGTGTGGGGGAGGTGTGCAGGCAGCAGTGTGGGGGAGTGCAGGCAGCTGTGTGGGGAAGTGCAGGCAGCTGTGTGGGGAAGTGCAGACAGTGGTGTGGGGGAGGTGTGCAGGCAGCGGTGTGGGGGAGTGCAGGCAGCGGTGAGAGTGCGGGCAGCGGTGTAGGGGTTGTGCATGCAACGGTGAATAGAAATGCAGGCAGCGGCAGCGGTGTGGGGAATTGCAGGGGTGTGGGGGATTGCAGGCAGCGGTGTGGGGGATTGCTGGCAACAGTGTGGGGAAGTGCATGCAGCGGTGTGAGGGAGTTCAGGTAACGGTGTGGGGGAGTGCAGGCAGCGGTGCGAGGGAGTGCAGGCAGCGGTGTGAGGGAGTGCAGTGCGAGGGAGTGTAGGCAGTGGTGTGAGGGAGTGCAGGCAGCGGTGCGAGGGAGTGCAGGCAGCGGTGTGAGGGAGTGCAGGCAGGGGTGTGGGGGATAGCAGGCAGCGGTGTGGGGGATTGCAGGCAACAGTGTGGGGAAGTGCATGCAGCGGTGTGAGGGAGTTCAGGTAACGGTGTGGGGGAGTGCAGGCAGCGGTGCGAGGGAGTGCAGGCAGCGGTGTGGGGGAGTGCAGGCAGCGGTGTGAGGGAGTGTAGGCAGTGGTGTGAGGGAGTGCAGGCAGCGGTGCGAGGGAGTGCAGGCAGCGGTGTGAGGGAGTGCAGGCAGGGGTGCGAGGGAGTGCAGGCAGCGGTGCGAGGGTGCAGGCAGCGGTGTGGGGGATTGCAGGCAGCGATGAGGGAGTGCAGTCAACGGTGTGGGGGAGTGCAGGCAACTGTGTAAGGGCGGGGTTCAGGCAGCGGTGTCGGGGTGAAGTACAGGGAGCGGAATGACGGGAGGTGTGCAGGCAGGGGTGCGGGGGCGGGGTTTAGGCAGCAGTGTGGGGGTGAGGTACAAGGAGTGGAGTGAAGGGAGGTGTGGAGGCAGTGGTGTGGGGGCGGCGTTCAGGCAGCAATGTGGGGGTAGCGTTCAGGCAGCGGTGTGGGGGTGGCGTTCAGGCAGCGGTGTGGGGGTGGCGTTCAGGCAGCGGTGTGGGGGTGGCGTTCAGGCAGCGGTGTGGGGGTGGCGTTCAGGCAGCGGTGTGGGGGTGGCGTTCAGGCAGCGGTGTGGGGGTGGCGTTCAGGCAGCGGTGTGGGGGTGGCGTTCAGGCAGCGGTGTGGGGGTGGCGTTCAGGCAGCGGTGTGGGGGTGGCGTTCAGGCAGCGGTGTGGGGGTAGCGTTCAGGCAGCGGTGTGGGGGTGGCGTTCAGGCAGCGGTGTGGGGGTGGCGTTCAGGCAGCGGTGTGGGGGTGGCGTTCAGGCAGCGGTGTGGGGGCGGGGTTCAGACAAAGATACACGAGGATGATATTTTCATTTTAATGTGCTTGCAGGTTCGTATTAGCTTCTACTATCTCCTTGTACACTCCTTGTGCTTACTGCTCTTTCGCTAAGATAAAGTTCTTTCTGACACCCTTGTGGCTAATCTGCGCCTCAAGGTTCCACCAAGAACAAGGTTCCTTGTTCTACCCTGCCTTATACATATGTCCTATTTATCTATCGTCAATGCCCATGAGAATTTGGTGTCGCTAACACGTCTTGATGTCGTTTGTCTTGAAGTGAGACGAGTGTTGGTTCTCTCAGCCTTTTCTCATATTACAATTCTCGTTGTTCCAGTACGAGCTTCGTCATATACCTCCACACTTTTTCTAATGTTATAACTTTTTGCTGATTCTTATGTTTTCCAGTTTCGCGAATGTTGATGATGCTTCCTGCAGCTTTTCCAGGTCCTCTTATAGTTTTTTACGAATGAGAAGTTTTTTCCTTGGATAAATTTTGCATTATCAGCAAACCACGGTGAGGGCGCTCACGCAGAAATGTTGGGGGAAAGGGGTGCAAGCAGCGGTTGGGGGGTAGGTGCAGGCAACAGAGTGGAAGGGTGGGGTGCAGGCAGCGGGGTGGGGGTGAGATGGGGGAGTAGCATCCCAGTGAGGGAGAAGGGTCGGCCAGTTCACACATCAAAGGAAGCCGCCGAAGTTGTGAGAAGTCGGCGTGTTTGATCTTGGGTGCGATTATCACAGCTCGGTCGGTACTCAGCAGCGCTCAGTTGAGGCATTTATAGGCAGGAGCTGAGATGGTGCGGCGGCCAGTGTGCGTAGCGCGGGGCCAGTGTGCACACCAGGCGGACACTCCACACTCACTATACCTACATCAACCACCATACTGTGTATATACTCTGCTACCGGGACTCATTTCCACATACGTGTAAAAAAAAGTGAAGGAAATACTACTGGTATAAATACTGCGAGGAGACTACGGTGATTGATGCCTGTGCCACGTGAGGTGATACTAGGCCTCCACCAGGGGAAGGTGATGAGCTACGGTGCACTGGTGGTGTTTGTGGCTTGGCTGGTGGGGTCAGAGGCTCTTGGTCATCAAGTAGTGAGCAGACCAAGTCCTCAAGATGTGCCGATGAACGAGCGCACTAGTCGGTGGGCGGCGGCAGCCTACGACCTGTTGCAGTCCTTGTCGTGTGAAGCGCCCTCGTGGACGACGGAGAAGGCGTGTCTTGAGGTCCAGCTGGTGCCCCGGGGGCTGATGCGGGTGTGGGCGACCCAGGCGGGCCCACGGCAGTACGTGGCGCGGCTACCTGATGGGTCCCTGCAGCGGTCTGGCCGCCACGACGGAGTGCTCATGCTGGACCCCTATCCCAGCGCCTCCTGGGGACATCTGGTCCTGGTCATCTTCGTCAGCAGCAACACCTCACTCGCGCAGTGTTCCAGCAACGGCGGCTACTGGGTGGGTGAGTACACTGTGCCGCGTCTCCATACATCAGTGGCGCGTGTCAGCTCTCGCCGCAACATGTCAGGGGTTTTCCCTTATTCACGAACCGGTTAAATGTGGTTCACCTGCTCATCCTTCATTAATTATTTGTTCATTTTAATTATACAGGGTCATACAATTTAATACACATTGTTTGCACACTATTAATATTGCATATTACTTTATAGAACCAATATGTTGTGATCAAACCACACATCAGAAAATGGAAAAATTTGGAGAAAAGGAAAACGAAATTAAAAAAACGACGTTTCGGTCGATTTCACACGACTTGATAATGAGCCAGGACGGACCGAAACGTCGTCGTTTCTTAATTTTCTGATGTGTGGTTTGGTCATCATATCTTCTGGGACGTTATTGTGACATCGTCACTAATATGTTATTATGTGAGACTGCATTTTTATCATTAGGTTTCTACAGTTTCATCAATAGAACTTAGGGGTGACGACTGTTTTCCTCACTGACATCCGACTAGGCATCTCAAACTATCATCTAGCCTTCGTTTTCCTCACTGACATCCGACTAGGCTTCTGATACTATCATCTAGTCTTCGTTTTCCGCACTGCCATCAGACGCACACTCCCTGCTGGGTCGGGAAACGACTAGCTTGGGACCGTGGGCTATTTGGATAAATACCAGTAAATTGCTAGGTATAAATGCATTTATATTTTAATATTCTCGGACGGCTCAGGGTGTGAAGCCAAATGTGATGTGGACTATTGGTCTGGCAGACCTAATATTGTATGGACTATTGGTCTGGCAGACCTAATATTGTATGGACTATTGGTCTGACAGACCTAATATTGTATGGACTATTGGTCTGACAGACCTAATATTGTATGGACTATTGGTCTGACAGACCTAATATTGTATGGACTATTGGTCTGGCAGACCTAATATTGTATGGACTATTGGTCTGACAGACCTAATATTGTATGGACTATTGGTCTGACAGACCTAATATTGTATGGACTATTGGTCTGACAGACCTAATATTGTATGGACTATTGGTCTGACAGGCCAAATGTGATGTGGACATTTGGTTTCCATACTCTGGTTTACACGCCAGTTTTGAATCATAGAGAAACGTGAACTTTGGAGCGTTGGAGTGAAAGGTCAGGTCTGGAATCTTGGAAGGTAATGCGTGTGGCGTGCAGATGGATGGGTTGTCAGCCAACATGTGTGTGTGAGGGACCTGGGGTGGTGGTGGATGTCCCCAGGGATGAGCGTGGTCACGCGGGAACCATTGACGGGGGACGGCTGGTGGAGCCCCCAATCCCCAGCGAACGCTGGACCGTCAAGAGAAAAAACTATTTAATTTTGTTTATCTTTCGTGGACCGCAAAATGTCTCGGGACAACCAACTCGACGCCAGGTAATTACATCAAAGGGAGCCGAGGGAATAACTTTGTATATTTATTGAGTGAAGAAAAACCTCACATGTTTTTCCTAATGATTCGTCTTTGTCGTATTGCAATTATTATTGATATTTGTTTTAAATGTAATTATTGATATTTATTTATTTAGTATTTAAATTGGCAAATAGGGGCTTGCTGGCTGAGTGAACAGCGCTCGGGGTTCGTAGTCCTAAGGGTCAGAGTTCAAGGCGGAAACAAATGGGCAGTTTCTTTCACCCTGATGCTCCTGTTCACCTAGTTCAGTAAATAGGTACCTGGGAGTTAGACAGCTGCTACGGGCTGCTTCCTGGGGGGGGGGGGAAGTTGTAACAAAAAGAAGGCCTGGTCGAGGACCGGGCCGCGGGGACGCTAAGGCCCGAAATCATCTCAAGATAGCCTGTATTATTTTTACTATTTCCAGCAGCGATGGATACTTCATTGTGCACTCAATACTCATCAAATGAGCCGTAGTTTATTGTGCGCCCCATACTCATCCTATGATTACGGGTATTCATGCCCGTGCCACCTTCAGGGTGCCTTAATCTTTATTAATCGTCAATCATCCTGTGAGCATAAGTTTATTATGCACCCCATACTCATTCAGTGAGCCGTAATTTATTATGCACTCCACATTCATCCAGCAAGTGATAGTTTATTGTACACCTATACTTATCTTGTGAGCGGAAGTTTATTGTGCACCCTATACTCATCGAGTGTGAAGCAGTTTATTGTGCACCCTATACTCATCGAGTGTGAAGCAGTTTATTGTGCAGCCCATACTCATCCTACAAGTTGTAGTTTGTGCCCCCATACTCGCCCAGTGATCGGCAGTCTATTGTGCACCCCATACTCAGCCTGTGAACTGTCGTTTATTGTGCACTCCATATTCATCGTTTTCCGGTAGTTTATTGTGCACCAAATACTCATCCTGTGGATGGTTGGCTCTTGTGCACCAAATACTCATCCCGTGAGCAGTAATTTATTATGCACTCCATATTCATCTTGTGTAGCGGTAGTTTATCGTGAAGCCCATTCTCATTCTGCGAGTTGTAGTTTACTGTGTACCCCATACTCATCCTCTGAGAAACATTTTATTGTGAACATACTCATTCTGCGAGCAGTAATTTATTGTGCATTCCATACTCATCCTGTGAGCCATAGTTTAATGTGCATCAGATACTCAACTGTACTCACTTATTTGTACCTGCAGAATCGAGCGTTAGCTCTTGGGTTCCGCCCTTGCATCTACCGGTTGTCTAATGGAATGACTCCTGACCTATTTCCGTATATCTACTTTAAAAATTATGAATAGAGTTCTCTTCTACAACGTGCTTCTTTAGTTCATTCCATTTTATCACTACCCTAACGCTAAAAGAAAACTTTCTTACATTTTAAGATTCATCGCGAGTCTCAAGCTTCCATCTATTTCCTCTTGTACTATTTGTGTTCATTGTGAACATTTCCTCTTTTTCCACTCTCAGGCCTCCAAAGTATTTTATACATCTCTATCATGTCTCTCCTCTTTTCTAGCATCATCAGGTTTAGTTCCTTAAGTTCCGTAAGTGTACCTCGTCTTTACCTTGTGAGTAGTAGATGACTGCACTCCATAATCATCCTCTGAGTAGTATTTTATTGTAAACCCCCATATTCATCCTGTGAGTGGTAGTTTACTGTGCACCCCTATACTCATCCTGCCAGGAGTATTGTATTGTGCACATCATACTCATCCTGCCAGAAGTATTGTATTGTGCACATCATACTCATCCTGCCAGAAGTATTGTATTGTGCACATCATACTCATCCTGCCAGGAGTATTGTATTGTGCACATCATACTCATCCTGTGAGCAGCGGTTTTGTGGGAAATTTGGCTCCAAAATATTGTTAATAAAATCATGAATACCTTCGAAGGACCATCCTTTAAATAAAGGGAATAAATTTGAGAACCAGTGATCTATGGAGCTCGCATAAAATATATATGAAATCTAAGACTGTGATACGAACTGTAATATTATAATTTAAGAAACCAAATCCCTCCACAGACTTTGGGGGGTTTAATCAGTAAATAGAATTAATAATCTATAAGATAATGTAATATTGTAATACTACACATTTATCAAATATTCACATATAAATTGATATGCAAGAAAATGTTAAATAAATAGGTATTAAGATCTATCTACGAAAACTATAAAAACAGCTTAGCTGTGGGATAAATAGACGTAAATGATCCGTACGTTCATGTACTCGTCGCCTGGAATCATGTTTCATCTGGCTCCAGCTAGGGACACGTGAGCGTCGAGGAAGTATTCGCCTCACTTGCGTTGGTACTCCAGCTGAAATACGAGTTAAGTGTAAAATCTATTGGAGAAAGCGCGACTCCACCAATATTCATGGGAAATTAATATGAATAGTTGAGTGGAAAGCGATTTGGGAATTTCGCTGTAAAGTCATGCCTCGTAACGATACATCGTCCTATCTAATAGTTTGTTGTAGCTACCTTACCTTGAGGTGCTTCCGGGGCTAAGCGTCCCCGCGGCCCGGTCGTCGACCAGGCCTCCTGGTTGCCGGACTGATCAACCAGGCTGTTGGACGCGGCTGCGAGCAGCCTGACGTATGAGTCACAGCCTGGTTGATCAGGTATCCTTAAGAGGTGCTTATCTAGTTCTCTCTTGAACACTGTGAGGGGTCGGCCAGTTATACCCCTTATGTGTAGTGGAAGCGTATTGAACAGTCTCGGGCCTCTGATACTGATAGAGTTCTCTCTCAGAGTACCTGTTGCACCTCTGCTTTTCAACGGGGGTATTCTGCACATCCTGCCATGTCTTCTGGTCTCATGTGATGTTATTTCTGTGTGCAGGTTTGGGACCAGCCCCTCTAATATTTTCCACGTGTAAATTATTATGTACCTCTCCCGCCTGCGCTCAAGGGAGTACAGTTTTAGGCTCTTTAGTCGGGCCCAATAGTTTAGATGTTTTACTGAGTGGATTCTAGCAGTAAAGGATCTCTGCACGCTCTCCAGGTCAGCAATTTCTCCAGCTTTGAAAGGGGCTGTCATTGTGCAGCAGTACTCCACTCTAGAGAGCACAAGCGTTTTGAAAAGTATCATCATCGGTATGCATCTCTAGTGTGAAAAGTTCTTGCTATCCAACCTGTCATTTTGGTTGGATAGCTACAAGAAACAAATTATAGAACCCGATAACGTGCCGAACAAGGTGTCTGAGACGTAATGAAGCTGCCACGCCAAGCTAACGTGTGTAGGTGCACGGATGTTTCTTTACAAAGATGGTAATTTAGTCAGCTACCAGACACTCTCCTTGTTGATTATGGCGTCGCTTGCCTTCTGACTCCTTCTCGAGCTCACTCGCGCATGCGCAGATGCTACGACGCGTTGAATATTCCTATGCTTTATTTAATATCCCGAATTGATGGAACTAAGGTGTATCAGAAATTTTAAAGAATAATTTGCCTTATTTGACAATATATAAATTCTCGCTTCTTAATGATTAAATAAACGTTGGTTGATATGAGCGTGCTGGGTAGAAATTCTGTTATCTATGAACGCTAT